TCAGCATTTGTAAGTTGATCGGGGATTTCATAGGGACTTTGAAATTGTTAGGGGAGGCGAAAAGCAGTTTTGAGGAGGTTTCTTGTTTAACTAAAAAAAAAAACAAGTTCAGTAATGTGTGAGATCAAGGTGCATCATCCTAGCATTTGAATTACTGCTCAAAAAAGTACACAAATGAAATGAGCACACCATTGTTAAAATCATTTAAACCTTTATGACTGGAGAGAAATAACAGCTTAACTATGTAGACCATCATTGCCAGTTTTCATATATATAAGAGGACTGATACACACAAAGAAAGTCTGACTCTTAATGTTTCCTTTCTGGGGATCTGCAGGGTTGAGCTCCCTCAAACCTAACAAAGGAAGAAGAGTCCCTTCTACCTTATGACTGGTATTTTTTTATTACATCACTGTAAGAGCAGGTCTAGTTAACAAAGGAGTTATTTTATCTCTTTTCTCTAGTTAACACATTGATTGTGGCTCTCAAATTTATCTTCAGTTTTCAAACTACACAATTTGAACAAACATATATGCCCCCCCCCCCCCAACAAATAAGAAAGTTTCTTACCTGTTTCTTTTATCATTAATTTTTGGAATTCTATATTTGGAAGAATAGACATTTCAGATTAAGGGAAACTTCAGGTTTTGTCAGATGATTAGGTGTGGTTGAGTTTATCCAGTTTGTCTTTTCATGGAAATTTTAATGAAAAATTTTGCAGCAAAATTTAGTTAAATAAATTTAGTTAACCTTTTAGTTGATTGATATCTATGTTGGGTGGTTTATTGATATCTATTTGAAAATCATTTTACTTTTCTTAAATTGTGCATGCATTAAATGTTTGGTTATGGAGCACATACTGATACACCATCAAAACATTCTTAATATTTCCTGATAAACTACTAAGTGGCTTTTTGATGAATAGTTTCATGGCCTCTGCAATTGGTTGAAGAAATCCTTATAAATTAACTTTTCTACAAACTTCTGGAACTTGTTGACATGTTGTTTTGAATCATGTCTCTGAAGTAACAGTCTATCTCTTATTCTTCCCAAGAATTCTGCCTCTTGTCCAAAGCTAGTTCCACTTCAATATTATGGCCCTCCTTATTCTTAATTATCTTCCTACTCTCAAGCCTAGCATACATATTTAGTAAATAAACACTAGCTTTTTTATTTTCAGTCTCTTCTACACTCTTTATTCTCTATATTTAAGAGCACATGCACTCTCCTGATCTTGAATAGTTCAGTTGCTCTGCTATTTCTGTCCTCCAAAATGTCATCCTTTTTTGCATTCTTTTACTGCAGTTTGAGTCCACACTTATTGTCTCAATTTTCTTACTAATGGCCATAGATAGACAGATGGTTAGTAGGTAGTAATTGCGTGCAAAAAAACAAATACAAACAAACTGGACTATTTGTGAAATCCCCATAGAAGAACCCACAAAAAGGACAAAATTGTAGTGTAGAAAACAGGACTATAACAAGAGTACAAGGAGGCTTCTTCATTCACACAGACATAGCTGTGACAGTTAACAAGCTCTCTGAAGTAGAAAAGATCTAATAGATGGAAAGTGATGGGCCTTAAGGAATGCCTGTACTTAAGGAAGAGGACAATGAGATAGAGTTTGGAGGGAGATAGAACTATATGTGATTGTCCAGTTTAGAATTCTTAACTTTTAAAATGTTTGACTCAAAAAAGTTTACAGAAATGTTCCTCATTCCTCCCCTCCCCCCCAAAAAAGGGCATTTACTAGCAACTGTAGGTTAAAAACCAAGTCTTTTTTCATTATTTTGTGGACTTTACTTATACTCTCCTCTGTGTTTTTGGATGTGGCAAAGCCTCCAGGATTTCATAACTTCCCCTTTTTTAAAAAAAAAAATCTTTTTTTTTTAATTGATTTTAGAGAGAGGAAGGGATGGAGGGAGAGAGAGACAGACAGACAGACATCGATTGGTTGCCTCCTGTACCCAACCAGACCAGGATTAAATTCACAACCTGGGTAGGTATCCAGACCAGAATCTAAACCACCACCTTTCACTATGTGAGGACGACACTCCAACCAACTGAGCCACACCAGCCAGGGCAGCTTCTCCCTTTTTGATTCCTATTTTCTTTATTTTCTTCACTTTTCCCCTTCTTTCCCTTCATTAGCTACCACACTTTTCCTACCAAAGACCAAATGACTACTACCTAGGGAAAAAGAGGATTACTTTTTTCAAGCCCTTCACACACACCTATTACCTACCTACCTCCTCTCTCTCTTTCTCTCTCTCTCTCTCTCTCTCTCTCTCTCTGTGTGTGTGTGTGTGTGTGTATGTGTGTGTGCGCGCGTGCGCACGAGTGTGCCCTTACCCCAAATCCTATATAATAAAAGGCTAATATGCAAATCAGCTGAATGGCAGAACGACTGGTCACTATGACACTCACTGACCACCAAGGGGCAGGCGCTCAACACAGGAGCTGCCCCTGGCGGTCAGTGTGCTCCCACAGTGGGAGCACCGCTCAGCCAGAAGCCGGGCTCATGACTGGTGAGTGCAGCAGCTGTGGCAGGAGCCTCTCCCGCCTTCGTGACAGCACTAAGGATGTCCGACTGATGGCTTAGGCCCGCCCCTGGGGAGCGGGCCTAAGCCGTCCGGCGAGAGGGCGCAGGCCAGGCTAAGGGACAACCCCCACCCCAAGTGCACGAATTTCGTGCATCAGGCCTCTAGTCTATACTAATAAAAGAGTAATATGCTGCCCTAACTGGTTTGGCTCAGTGGATAGAGCGTCAACCTGCTAACTCAAGGGTCCCAGGTTCGATTCCGGTCAAGGGCATGTACCTTGGTTGCAGGCACATCCCCAGTAGGGATTGTGCAGGAGGCAGCTGATCGATGTTTCTCTCTCATTGATGTTTCTAACTCTCCATCCCTCTCCCTTCCTCTCTGTAAAAAATCAATAAATAATATATATATATATATTTTTTTAAAAAGAGTAATATGCTAATTAGACTGGGAGACCTTCTGGACAAAGCCAGGGGCTTGGCTGGCTTGCAAACCACCCCAGGCCCCTCGCCCAGGCCACCCACTCCCCAGCGGGGACCCCCACCTTGATGGGGGCGTGGCCAGCCTGCACACGGCCCTCAGCCCCTCGCCCAGGCCGGCCATGCCCCCCAGCGGGGACCCCCACCCTGATGGGGGCATGGCCGGCCTGCAAACTGCCCCAGCCCCTCACCCAGGCCGGCACCGCCCCAGTGGGGACCCCCACCCCGATGGGGGCGTGGCTGGCCTGCAAACCGCACCAGGCCCCTTGCCCAGGCTCCTCAAGGGGACCCCACCCTGATCCAGGACCCCCTTCAGGGCAGACCAGCCAGCCCCCACCCGTGCACCAGGCCTCTATCTTAAGGGTAATATGCTAATTAGACTGGACATCCTTCCAAACAAAGCCATGGTGGCGGGGCCAAGGCAGAGGCAGTTAGGGGTGATCAAGCTGGCAGGGGAGAGCAGTTAGGGGGATCAGGCTGGCAGGGGAGAGCAGTTAGGGGGATCTGGCCAGCAGGGTAGAGCAGTTAGGGGGATCAGGCCAGCAGGGGACAGCAGTTAGGGGGATCAGGTCTGCAGGGGAGAGAAGTTAGGGGGATCAGGCCAGCAGGCAGGCAAGTGGTTAGGAGCCAGCAGTCCCAGATTGCAAGAGGGATGTCTGACTACCGGCAGTCGGACATCCCCCGAGGGGTCCCGGGTTAGAAAGTGTGCAGGCCAGACTAAGAGACACCTTCCCCTCCCGTGCACAAATTTTGTGCACCGGGCCTCTAGTAAGACATAAAACCATCGTGACCCCCTCAAGTAGGCATACAGATACACAGAAAGATAGATGATCTAGTAAAAGAGGGTAAACAAATGGGAAGCATGGACCATGAGTAAAGTGACCACAAACCCTGATAATGAGTTTATTTTAAAGTTTATCTTAAACTTTGTCCAAAAGTCTTATATTAAAATCCCTGGTCATATGTTCTTATTTTTAAATGTTGGGCATTTGGTCATAGAAATCTTTTAATTTAAAAGTGCCTGTATCCTGGGGAGGGTGGGGGGGCTGAAGGGGGGGGGTAAGAGATCAACCAAAGGACTTGTATGCATGCATATAAGCATAACCAATGGACATAAGACACTGGGGGCTAGGGGAAGCCAGGGGATTGTCAAGGGCGGGAAAAAAAAAAGGAGACATATGTAATACTCTTTGTAATAACTTAAGCAATAAAAAAATTAAAAAAAAAAAAAAGTGCCTGTATCCTGAATATGTTGATTGCCTTTCGTGCCAACTTGTTTGTCTAGTTGTCTTTCCATTTTCTATTTCTGTTGATCATACATAGACAGTTAACGTTTTCTCTCTGTGTATCCTGGGACCTAACACACTGTTTCATGTTCAATATTGTTCAATGGATAGATGGATTTTAAAGAAGCCTTTCTGTTTTAGCAGATTTTTATCTTAATTGCGATGGTAAATCTGACTTTCTTTTAAGTTACTGAGAATACTACATCCTGTATTCATTTTTATTCCATTTTCATCCCAGCCGTGGCAATTGGGATTCTCTTGCTTTGCTAGGTATAAGATTGCGGTTAAAAATGAACTATGCTGTTTTATTTCATGAACTATAGTCATATTCTTTTTTTCTCTGGCACCATCACCCTCAGTTCCTTAGTCAAATATTATCAGAGTAGTTTGGGAAAATCTAGTATATTTAAGTTATTAAAAGATGGAAATAGATCTTATTGATATGCTTAATCTCAAACTTTTGGCCAGTGCTTCTCCCAGATATCTTGAGTTCTCAGGCATATTCTAATTTTAGCAGATAGTGTCTTGGTTTCTCTGTAGCTCATTTAGTTTCAGGTGTAGGTTTATCACATCTTTTTTTTTTTTCTGTTAAACTAGTGTTTTACTGTAGTATCACATATTGTTACCAATAAAGTTGTTTCACATACAAAGTTAAAAGTGAGCTCTAACCTATGTCTTCTTACTGTTTCTCTAGAACTGTCCAGTAATCCACCTCTAGCTACCATTCTTATTCCTCCTCATGCTCGGATTCAAGCAGCTGCTTCAACCCCAACAAATGCCACAGCAGCCTCAGGTGAGAACATATAAGTCTCTTTTATAAAAATGTATTGTTTTTTAAAAGACATGATTACCTCCATTTTATTTCTTTTGATACATGTGAATATTTAATACCTTCCAAGTATCAACAGCACAGCCAAAAGAATAAATGTGAATAAAATAGTGCTCTACTTTCAAAAAGCACAAAAGGACCCCATAAATAACTTTTTATATAAGGTGTAAATATCTTATTATGTTAAATTTTTTTGTTATTTTTAAAGTCATACTTTCCATATAATTTCTTGATTATATATCAAATGAGATGCCAATAGCAGAAAGCAATCTGTACAGACGTAATGTCATTGAAGATAATTCACTTTAATTCCAACACCCTGAATGTAAACTATATTAGTATACTAGAGAGGCAAATTTTTAAGAAGTATAAAATATAGATTGGTGAGTTTAATCATTCAACAGGACTAAAACTGCAATGCAGGTACATTTAACTAAGATTTAGATCAGAATGTGATTAGGTCTTCTATCAAAAAAAAAACCCTCGTTGGTCTCCCAGGGTACAGCTTAGTGTACTGCCGGTCCCTTAGCCAATTAATGGTGTGGCCTGTTTGGGCACAGATCACTGTCATTACAGATATGCTGAAAATACCCAACCCTTGTGTGAATTGAAGTTCTTCGGAAGAATGGCTGGATGCTGTTTAAAATGAAGTTAGAAATATACTAGGTAGCCTACTCAGGCTCAGAATTTGGTATCTCCTCTTTTCTTACAAAAAACCAGATGTCAGAAGCTGACTTTATTTTCATTAAATCATTTATTACATTGAACTAAGTTGGATCAGACCCATTTTTGCCTAAGGGCATTTATGCTGCAGGAGATGAAATCTTTCATTATTAGTTCCCTGCATTTAACAGTAAAGTCAGAATCCATCTGTTGTCTGACACAAAGTTGTTTGTTTTTGTCCAATATTAATCTTTTGCGACATTGCTAGTGAAGATTAAAAATATTTCATGCTAGTCCATGTCCTATCTTCATTCCAGAAGTCTGGAAAATTCTCTTTTTCACTTCTAGTTCTATTAGCACATGCTACCTTGAGAAAGGCATTAAAACTTTACTAGTTTTAGTATGTCTTGTTAGTTTTCTCATTTCTGTAAAATGAGTGGCAATGCTCTCCTAGAAAAATTTTATAAAAACCAAATATGTACTAAAATATGCTTTAAATTTTTTAAATGTAAAATACAGAGTTTTTAAAATATATATACTACTTATCTATTTAAAACAAATATAGCCAGCACCGGTTTGGCTCAGTGGATAGAGCGTCGGCCTGCGGACTGAGGGGTCCCGGGTTCGATTCCGGTCAAGGGCATGTACCTTGGTTGCGGGCACATCCCCAGTGGGGGGTGTGCAGGAGGCAAGCTGATCGATGTTTCTCTCTCATTGATGTTTCTAACTCTCTATTCCTCTCCCTTCCTCTCTGTAAAAAATCAATAAAATATGTTTTTTTTAAAAAACAAATATAGATTGCTTAGATGAGCTATTAATAACTTACTAGATCACAGGTTAGGTTATGTTGATTGTTCAAAACCTGAAATAGACCCTAACCCTGAACTAAATGCATTTGCTTGTTGAGCTAGTTTCCAGAGTTTTATCAGAATTACTTTAGACTATGAATAAAAATAAGAATTATGATTGGAAAGTTTTAAGTAATTTTAAGTGATTTTTCTTTACATATATATATTTTTTAATTGATTTCAGAGAGGAAAGGAGAGGGAGAGAGAGAGAAACATCAATGATGAAAGAGAATTATTGGTTGGCTGCCTCCTGCACGCCCCCTACTGGGGATTAAACCCACAACCCATGCATGTGCCCTTGGCCAGAAATAACAGTGGTAAACTGAGTGCTGGAGTTACTGGTGTTCCTGGGACCTTCAGTCCGTAGGCTGACACTCTATCCACTGAGCCAAATCGGCTAGGGCTAAATGATTTTCTTAATGTGAAATACTAAACTAAGGTTTTTAGGCAATTTGCCTAGTAGGAGTGTAAGGTTATTTTTACATTTGATGCAGATTATAGTAGTTACCCAAAAAATATTTTCATTGCTTTATGTGTATACACACACACACACACACACACATTCTTATAGCTACTGAAGTCAGATTTCCACATAAATATGGAAACTGGCACTGGACTATGATCCTTAAAGTTTACTTCAAAGTTGAAGTAAATCAGGGGGTGGGGAACTTAATAGAGGAATAGTAGGCTGAGAGCAGAGCTAAAATTAGTTTAGAAAAATGCATGTCTTGAATAGCTTAATAGTTACCAAAGAGGATTTCAGATATTGCTCTGAATTTCCTAGTGGCTAAAGTAAATAAATGTTATCTGTTAAAATTTTTCACTGTTCATTAGATTAAAAGTACACTTGTGGCTTAGGAGAAGCAAAGTGTTTCTGGCCCTGCTGTGAAAAGTATTTCTTCTCCGTCAGGGCCTTGGATTTGGTATTGTAAGAGATATAGTAAATGAAGTTCTCATCACCATTTCAACAATAAATGTAATAGTGAGTTTCATGTGGATACTTCTGAGTATCCCTCGTGTAAGCTTAAGGTATAACACTACAGTATAGTTAAAGGAAAACAGTTTCTTTGGGGCCAAAGTAGTGAGAGCCAAGTATGTTATCAAATACTCAGGAAATACTGATCTAGATGAATGGATTGACTGTATGACATGAACAGCTGCCTGTATTTAAATAAATATATATGTATGTTTATATATTTTTTAAATAAGAATTTGATGGTGTGAATTATATTTTTTAATAAGACCTTAAAATATACATGCTCTCTATTGCCTGCCTTAGCTTCAGTTTCTTTAGCCATAAAACAGGAATAGTAACTACCCACTGCATAGAGTTCTGAGAAGTAAGGTACAAAATGTACAGAGTGCGCAGCTTGTGTTTTGTTCAAGGTCCAAGTAGTGGCTACAGGTGAATTGATTAAGACCCATTGGAAAGCATTACTGTATATAGCAAGAACCATTGAAGTTCATACTTTTTATTGCACTAATTCCACTTTAGGGATTTATCTTCAGGATACATCTACCGTGTACAGAGATAGGAATCTATAATAATAAAAGTGTAATATGCTAATTAGACCGACGTCCTTTCAGACGAAGCCGGGGTTGTGAGGGAAGCCTGGGTCCTGGGTGCCAGAGGGAAGCCGGTGCTGGCAGCCAGGGGAAGGAAGGCCTACTCTTGCACAAATATTCATGCATTGGGCCTCTAGTAATTACATAATAGCAAAAAGGAGAGCCAGTCTGATTTGAATGGTCAACAGTAGGAAATCGTTTTAATACATTATGAATCTCCACTTTTATTAACCATGAAATAATTATGAAGCTTATAGACATTTGTGGAAATAAATACTCAATTTATGTGGAGAAAATCTTTAAAAAATATTATGTACCATGCTGATAATTCCCAAAATGTGTGGATAGGGACTAGATAGAAATATGCAAAAAGTTATGTTAAATTAGTAGGTGTGGATTTTTTTCTCTCTCAAAAACTTTTGCATTCTTTTAAAATTGTTAAAATACCTCAGTTTCTGGGAGCATTATAGTTGATCATGGCTCTGACATGACAAACTCTTGAAAATTACGGGTACTACTAGTCTCAATCCATAAAGTATAATTTCTTATTTTGATACATGTATGTGTGTGTGTGTGTATGTTCTGATTTTCTCCACACCCCAAACATCCTCTCATTCACTCCATTTGAGAGACCATTCATCTAAACTATTTGGTTAACAAATCTTGAGAAATCACAGCTTCACTAATCAAGAGATCACCTGATCCAGTTCTAGAATAGTTAAATGTGACATGTGGTAGGGAATTTTAACTACAGCAGTTTTTCTCTCTTCATTTGTTTTGTATATCAGTCTGCAGGGCAATGGTTCTTTTATTAAAACTAATTTGAAAACTGATTTCAGTTCACCTCTCATACCTACTGAGAACTAATTGTTTATTCCATGCTTATGTATATTCAGTAATTGGAAGCTCATTACTGAAAGAAGGAGCACATTCCATCTATATATCAGTCTGTTAGGAAGTTTATCCTTTTTTCACCCTAAAATTTGTTCCCCTATACTTTCTTCTACTCAGTGATTCTACTTTGGGGTTACATAGAACCAACCCATTCATTAAAAAAAATCCTTCAAATTTTAGTAATGGCTAACATGCCCCTCATACTAATGAGGTTTTTAAAACTAACCCTGTTCTAAAGTGTCAGGGTGTTAGGTTTTCTATACAGTTGTATATCACCTGCACATTTTCATAAACACATCAACTTCTTGTCTATATTCAAGCAATTAATAAAATCTATCAAACAGGACAAGGCAGGGCTTTCTAGAGGTGGTCTTTTTCCCTTTGTTGAAAATACTGATAAAATAAGTTAAATGGGACCAGGCAAGGCTTACTAAAGATGATTCTTCTGGTAGTCTCCAGGTAATTAGTTAATCTTCTTGTTTGCTTAGCTACAGACCAACCTTAAATATATATAATAATGTTATTAAAAACTTTGTAAAATGCTTTGCTGTTGGCAATAAAACATTCAGATTTCTTCTTTCAAAAAGGTATAACTGCCAAAGATGAAAATAAAACTTTTTTAAGACAGGGAAATTTCTAATGCCTGAATGTGTATAAACTGCATTTCTGTAGTCCATGTTAAGAATTTGTTTCTTGGACTATAGGCTCTGTGTTTAATGACATTTACATGTGTAAATTGCCCTCACCTTCCTTGGGCTGCATTTTGTTTATTAGGATTTTTGTTATATCCTTTCCAGGTTGAAAACCCTTCTAACAGAAAAGGGAATCATGATAGGAGTGTTGGACAAGGTCTGTCTTCTCTGTCTTTTTACCTGGTCAGGGTATTTAACTTTTCTTGATCTTGCTTTGAAAACCTTTTGCTGTTACTTATTTTAACCAAGCCTGGCCTATTCTTACCAGTTCACATTGTTATTTTTTATTCTTCCTTGCATATGTGTCCTTCTTCTCATATATTTTTTAATATGAGCTCATATGAGAAAACCCTTTAAGCTGATTTATTTGGTTCTTTTCCCTCTACTTTGCATTGATATTATTTGCAATTGATTGGTCAGAAATTATTTTTGAAGACTCTAGCCACAAAATCATACTTGTTAGTTCTCTGAGCTTTTTGAAATTAATTTTGCTAAAGTCATGATTCAGATTTAGCCAGAGCCAGTGATCCCATTTCCTTAATTATTATAGTTACTTTTACCCCAGAATTTCTGTCACCTATATCATCAGCCAGTTCTTCCTAGTTGGACAGCATCTCGCATTTTTTTTTTGTTTCCACTGATATTGAGAGATGAAATGCTAAATTATGTCAATGTATTAAATTCTCATTTAAACAAAATGACAATTACCATTTCTTCTCCCACTCCCCAAGTACTGTTTTTCTATGCCACTTTCACATGTGCACTGGAACAGCTGTATCCATATCCTGTCTAGTTGTAGAATCTGCAGTATGTGCCCTCAGGTGTTCCTCTTCCTAACCCTGTCCTTTCTGTTCTCTCTACCTAACCTAAATGTATGTGAAGTTTCATTAAAGTATACAGCTTAAAAAAACAAACAAACGGGTTTTTCTCTATTAATTACATAATATACAGTTATTTTAGGGGTTGGGGAGTCTCCCATATTCTCACTTCCATAGGTAGTGAA